AGTGAAATAAAGTGAACTAAAGTGATCAGTGTGATTAATTATTAGTGTGTATTAATTTTAATTGGTGTTTAGTAATTAAGGAGTCAATTTTGGTAGGTTTTTTTTATAGAAGAGGGGGTAAACGAGCATGCGGCTAACCTGATGTTAAGTGACTACCGCCGCCCATGATCAACCGCAACACCAGGGGAATTGCAGGTGCGTTGCCGGCCCTTTAGAAAGGAGTACGCTCTTTTCTTGAAGGTCCCAGGTCATATCGGTCCGGAAAAATCGCTGGTGGTAAACTATTCCACAGAGGTTGTACGCGGAAGAAAACTCCTCTTGAAACGTACAGTAGTGGACCGCCAAGCATCCAGATGGTGTGGATGGTATCGGGACGTTTGCCGCGTAGTGCGTTCACGAAATTTGGTGGCTGGGATTAATCCGAACAATTCCTCAGAGCACTCTCCATGGTATATGCGAAAGAAAATGCAAAGAGATGCAACATCTCTTCGCAGTACTAGTGAATCGAGCCGATCGGAAAGCACTCGGTCGTCGACGATTCGAGCCGCTCTGCGCTGGATGCGGTCAAGTGGAAGGAGCTGGTACTGGGGAGCCCCAGCCCAGAGATGGGAACAGTGTTCCATAGGTAATTTAATCGGCAGTTTTTACTGTTACGAACCTTAAGCAACAGGCACGCGCGCGCACTAACTCACACGCACAACTACTCTATTCATAGTACACACCCTTTTTGATGTGAAATTTGTAATTACTACTTAATTTAATTACAATCTCCGTTCTGATTTGTATTCCTCAGACTGTTGCTGTATACGCGGGGAGCCCTGGTGACCTGTAATATAGTTTTTTTTATACCTACATCAGGCACCAGTCTCTCGCAACTTAGGTACCTGTCTGGCACTTTTGTAATACTTAGCACTAAGAATACCTATTTTGAAGAGAATTCATTCATTCACAACGTTATTATCGAGAGACTTGTGGACGATAAATCCGCCTCCTTGGGATAGATGGTCGTCCTCCTGGTGATAGAACAAGTTGCCGGATTCGAGGATTACCGTATCCTCCCACCCTCGTCTGACCTTAGATAATCCTATAATATCCCAGCGTAATTTGTCTACCTCTTCTTTCAGTTACAGGATCTTCTCGTCAGTCCTCAGGATAAGTGCGTTAATTGTGTCCTGATCGACTTAATCGTTCGAATTGTCACTCCTCGATCTTCAATTCTCACCCACCGACACATGCGGTCTGGTCACAAACTTTGATGAAGTTTTCATCAAACTTTCAACATGACCTTAATCGTATAGATTGTTTTGCGGACAATTAATTTACAATCGAACCAGTCGCATAAAGCTAGTGATAGAGAACGGACCGAGCATGGCTTTCAAAAGACTTTAGCGTAAATTTGTAATAACGTTATATCGAAGTATGATATGTTGAAATATTCTATATTACCAAGTATTATAAAACTATTTTTTTTTTTGTTATAGATGAAGGGGCAAGCCGGAAGAGGGACAGTATTCGTTGTGAGTCTGAACCTGTGCCTTGTAAAGTTGCAGGTGGTGTGCAGGCATGATATACTGCCTCACTCTGCTGAGCTCGCCAAGCTTTTTAGAGGCCAAGTTTCCCTTGTCTCCCAAGTGACCACGAAACTTCACGTTATTCGATATGTCGATGGCGAGGATTCCGTGGTAACAAGGGGGGGGGAGTGCCTCAAAACTGAGCAGATACGACAAAAGGGGTTATTTTAAGCGGTAAACGCTCAAACTTGTGTCCTCTGGGGATCGAACTGCAATAGATTTAGTCGCCCCAATCCGAAACTTTGTTCAACAAAGTATCGACATCAGACACAAGTTTGTTCCGGTACTCGGCGATATTTTCCTGAGAATTGGCGTTAATTGTTTTGCAACATGTCATTATATCAATGATATGTTGCAACAGAAGAAGAAACAGTGTTCGTTAAAGCACGCAGTGATACCAGCTCTTTTGAGGGATACCAGCGTTAACAGGCTTGTAATCAGAGCATGCACCGTCTACTACGACCTCGATGCTCCGATCTGCAAGAAAGTTGGTGATCCAATTGCATGAAGAAAGCTCGAGAGACTCGATCGAAGTCCTTCGCTATGTCTATATTAATGGCCATACCTCCCCCGTGGACTTTACTGCCTCCATCTATCTATGAGTTAGGTAGACCAGAAGATCACCAGCTGATAGACCCTGAAGAAAACCGTATTAACAGTCACTAATCCTCAGTGCCTCATGAGCTGGCAGTTTATTACGGATTCCATTATTTTGGAGAACAAGGAGATGATGGCGATAGGCCTGTAGTTAAACTGGTCTGAGCGATCACCTTTTTTTATTTATTTGTGTACACACAACAAGATACAGAAACAACAAAAACATTACTACTTCTAATGAATAAATAATATACAAAATGTTACGTAAATTATATTAAATAATAAGTACTACAAATTTTTATTACGCAATTAAATACAATGCATAAAAATAATAAATACGATGGTTACGTATAATATATATAAATTAATACTTATGTAATAAAAATAATAATAGGTTCTTAGATAGATATAAGCGTTTAGTACGGGAGGAATATAAAGTCAATTTTTTTTTGTTAAATATATTTAATTAATCAAAGTATGCACCGTTGTTATCTATGCACTTTTGCCATCTCGTAGGTAGTTCATTAATCCCTTTATTTAAAAAAAACATGGAGGCAAGAATCAATAAACTCTTTGAAGGCGGTTTGGACTGCCGCATCGGAGTTGAATTTTTTTCCTTGTAAGAAGTAGTCGAAATTCCGGAAACAATGCTAATCTGTTGGAGCAATGTCGATTCGCAGACATTCCAATTGTAGGTCATTTAACCGTGCTTTCTTTTGTGACACCAGCGCCGTACACATCATTAATCCTTCGAGCTGTTTCTGCAGCAATTGTGCCACGGTAATAAGCGACGCCAAAGAAAAAAATAATGACGAAAAAACAAATGAATTACTGTTTTTAAGACTCAGATATACCAGCTAAATGAATTTATAAATTTGAATTTGGAATTCTTAACTAAATAGGAAATACTTCAGATCAAAATGGTCAGGACGACAAAACGCTAATTTCATATGTAAGGACCCAATATATACTAATTTACAGGATGCAAAGAAGTTATCTCTAACACTTTTAGAGAGTATAGAGAACCGGAGACACATTTTACTGGAAAGAAGGCATTTCATCTTAGTCCTCACGGGTGACAACGCATCTACATTTTGATTCGTAATCGAGAATAGATGTAAATGTCTATGGGGCACAGCAATCACTTACCATCAGGTGGACTGTGAGCTCGTTTGTCACCTTATCCTAAAAAAATGTATATAATAGCAATATCGTTAAAAAGAACCCCTTTTTCTTATGTTCTCAGTTTTAAGGCACTCCCCTTGTTGCCTCAGCCAGTATCGGAATCCTCGGCGTCGACATATCGAGTATTTCATGCCGGCACATCACATGGAATACTGTTCCCGTTCTGTGAACCGATACGACTCAGTGATCTTCAAGAAAAGAGCTTACTCCTTTCTAAAAGGCCGGCAACACCCCTGCAACTTCCCTGGTGTTGCAGTTGTTCTTGGACGATGGTAGTCACCATCAAGTGAGCCGTATGCTCTTTTGCCCCTCTCCTATAAAAAAGATCTATAGTACGGGATCAGGGATCTCCATCCCAGTAATATTGTACAGTCAACAAAGGTACCAAATACACAAGCAAAAATATTTATCTTCACATTACTCTGTCAATATTCATTTTTATTGTGTGCGTTATAACTTTTTAACTTTGTTCACACTTATATAAATGATGTAAAAACCTTGAGTAAGTACTTAGCACACTCTGAACATTGTTTAACACAAGCTGCAAGTTAGCTGCCTGCATAATTAATTCTTTGTTTGACTGTACCTCACACGTAAATTCTGTATGAGAGTATGCACTGCGTACATATGCGGTGAAGTCTGGTGAAGCAGCTCAAGCTAAACTTAAGGGATAACAATCCAAATTTAATTTAATAACTCAACAATATTCACTGCTTCATGTGATGGAAAAATTCGTTTGCTGGACAGCAATAACATCGGAATGGATATTGTTAAACTGTCAAATTGGTATGGTTTGCCATTTTAGGTGTGTTACGTAATTAGTCTACGGATTTAATTCTTATCTACACAAAAACTATAATGTCAGTCACATTTATTTCTCAGATAAGTTATTTTCAATTACAAATATGAGGCTTATCGATGCTGATATCATAATGATACTGCCATTTCTTTTTAACCTTCTTAATCTTGTGTAAATTAAAAAGGATGATAGTGTTTTTGACAACTACTATAATCGCAACCCTTCATTCTAGTCTCATTGAAAAATCTATTAGCGGCCGGGTCGCCATTTTATATATGTTAACTGTCAAATGCTCTTGAGCTATTTATGTAATTTGTGAATTTTGTAGTAATTAACACTGTTATTGCGTTTGAACTCGGTTCAATAGTAGTAATAGCCAATTGCAATATAATCGGATGTGGCATCAAAAGAAGTAGAAATCACCCGAACATGATTTTACAACTGTACGTACTCAATTTTAGCTGAAATATCTTTAGATTTAGATTTAAAAAAATACAAAAGATTCTGAATTCGTTAAAAATTTTCAGCAGTGAAGCATTAATAATTTCCATTTTGCTTTTATTTTCAATAGTTGTACTTCATGAAATCATTTTCTTGTTTTTGAAGGTATAGAGAAATGTATTTAGACATTTTTATATTTATCGATAATGCTATTTTATGGTTCTTTATTGGTTTTATGTACTACTTTCAAGGCTGCCTGCTAATATAAGAAAAAGAAAATTTGTTTGGAAACAATTGGTGAAAAACATAAACAATTCATATTTGTTCTCTTCACTTTTATGAATCATGTTTCAACCGGACACTGAATGAAGTATACATTACGTGACGATGCTTTATCTTCACGAACCTTGTTGGTAAGTAACATTACATGTTATAAATTTGTCCAACATGATTGCGAGGTGGCTGATAAATTGAGTGGTAATGACATTAATTGTAACCACGTAGTCCGTACATGACTGGACCCCACTGCGTTGAAATATTTCGTCGGTTATTAATGAAAAATTAATATTTTATACATTTTGATTGAGTAGGTATTACACCAGAATTTTGAACTAAATATGTGGTTTAAAAGAATGTCAATTGTTTTGTTCCACCTTGTATAACGGACACAAATAGAGATGTAAAGCATGTGTTTGGGTGTGGTCTTAAGATTAATAAAAAATCATATTAATAAAATCAAGAAACATAAAAAATACTAATCATTTTATTGTTTATTTACAGCCCTCGATTCAATCAAATATGTCTGGAATTTTATTTGAAAATGATCAAAATCAAACAAACTCACAATCAATATCTGGATGTGGTGCTCCTATTATGGTAATTTTTTTCCTAATTAAAATAGCAGGTTCACTCTACTATTTTTGAAGATTCATTAATTTTTTTAGTATTTACTTTTCTAGCTCATGAAGATAAACAGATACTTAATAAGAACTTTAGAAGACAGTAGAAACAAATTGCTCATTTTTATTAGCAAAGATATAAACCAAAGAAATTTATTCAATTCAGAATCCCAGAAAGTTATTTTAGGGGTTGCTGTCCAATTAGTTTTTTTTTATTTTCACTATTTCAATAGAATATTTTGAATGTAGTTAATTTAATTTCTTTTTCTTTGTTGTTATAATATTTAGGTAAGATTCTTTGAATTTGATGTGTTAGTGTATAATATAGGCTTTTAGTTTTAATTGTAAATATATCTGTGTTTGATTTGTTGCGTACAATGATGTTACGGCCCTCAGTTGCCCTGACAAAAGTCGACTGGGCTAGGGCCCATAGTAACCCAACTCGACGAGCAACCGAGGGGAGGGCCCAATTGTCCTATGGATAATTAATTTATAACGGCTGGATAAGCAAACACAAACTTACCTAGTTCCGGAGGTAGGGTCGACCACAAGGTGCCATCAGGGGCAAGTAAATGGTATGTATGAGTAGTGTAGGAAGGTGTGTAATGTAACCTCACTATAATGTCACCGATGTAATCGGATAGCAGAACCACATGCGTTGCCTAGCTCCACAAGGTGCAATCACTCCAGAGGGCGTTCGCCGTTATCGGAACTCAAATCCAACGTCACTTAGCACAAACTATAATCGAACGCGATCTCCACCCGGATCACAAAGTTTAGCGTTCAACCCGACAAAGCAAAAATTCCTTCGTACGATATTAAAGTACTACACAAGCCACACGTCGACGCAAATTAATGGCAATCGAAGCTATCACTCAAAACTCAGGAAAAGGATCGTTGTCACGTATATTAACGAAATAAGATAACACAAAGAAGGCCGTCGTAATGCGACGTAACGATTATTACGTAACACCCGACCTCTAATCGACACGGCCGTCGCGTACAACCGAATATTCTAGACTAATTTCCCGACCTCCCACCGGCATGGCCGTAGCACACAAAGATTCTTCCAGACTAACTGGCACCGCCGTAGGCGCAAAGCGACTGCCCCCCCCCCCCCGCGCAACCCGCCAAACCGGTTCCTCGCCCGGGACGAGCGCCTTGCAAGTTTCAAGATGCCATGATTTGGCGTAAACAATGATAGAGTTTTATTTTTGTTTTAATACAGATATTTAAGTAGGTAGTAGTTTGTCTTAGAAGTTTAATTTAGTGTGTATTGTGTTTCGCAATTTTCTTATACTAATAAAGAATCGAGCGACTGTGGACAGTAGCAATAGCCCCAAAATCCCGACATTTTCAAATTCTGTTCAGATATTTTGGTCTTCCGATCTGGCACTCCTATCACCAGATCCAAGGCCCAGCTTTGTGTTCATAAAATATAACAAAATTTTATTTTATTTTCATGTTTATTTAACCTTTAAAACCCTACACTATAATAAAGACAGTATATTTAATAAGTATTCACACACTTTAACATAATAATTTATATGTTATAACTTATAGCAAATTTAACGTAAAAAAACTAATTAAAAATCCTATTAAAACCATTTTCTTTTGCTTTAATAAATTTATTATTGACTTTTATTAAAATCCCACAATCGTCTGCATGTTTAAAAAGGTAGGTGTAGGAAAATTACCATCAAAGATAGTAATTACTAGCTTCTATGAGAAATTTATTGTAATGTATTGTATACTCATATCCCGTCGCATCGCATTACCTGCCCGTGCTATCACTTCGTTTTCGTTTAACATTGTTTTTAACGTTTTTTCTTAGCTTCAAATGGTCATAGCGTGGTGTTATATAGCCTATAGTTCATAAAAGAAAGCTTGATCTCTGCGACAGCTGTCAGTAAAAATCACGCCTATAAAGTCCTGAATTTCTTAGTAGTGTCTGTAACATTGCCTGTCAATGTCATACTTTATGGGCATGCACCAATTAGGTCGGCATGCATAAACAGGTACTGTCTGTACTACTAAGAAATTCAGGATTATAATATTAGATGGTAGAATTCTGCCAATGTAGCCCGTGAAATTTAAATTTTCATACGTCTTTTTTTTTGCAACAGCTCTGTATTAGGTCGTATGTTGATCATAATATGATACACGACAAAACTAAACTATTATTAAAATAATTATATTTCATTAAAAAAATACCATCTACGGGCCAGTGACGGAACCACCATGTTACTACCAAAATAAGTTCTATGGTTTAGACGTGAAAAATGACGAACCTAGAAACAAATTAGATGAGAACAACATAAATCCAATACCAAAAAATAATCATCACCTGTAGAACTAAATCATCTTCGACCTATAAGTATACTGCCTTTTTATCTAAAATCGCTGAAAAGGCTGTTTATTTACAATTAATAGAATATCTAAATCAGAATAATATTTTACCTCTTATACAATCGGGTTTTAGAGCCCGACTAAGCACGGTTACAGCGCTATTGCGTGTTGTCGATGACATTCTAACGGCGCAGGATAAAGGAGAGGCTACAATTTTGACACTGCTGGACTTTTCGCGTGCTTTGATACAATAAATACGACTCCATTTCTGTCGAAATTGGTGTATTATGGTTTTGACTGTAACGCATTAAAGTTTTTTGAAAGTTATTTTAATGGTCGCATACAGCGTGTCAGGCTTCGAAATGAAAATGGTACAAAATTTTTTTTCTCCTGCGTCAATTTTAGGTCCTTTATCCTTTATCCTCTACAGTGCCGATATTACAGGTTATTTTAAATATTGCCAGTATTATTTATATGCTGACGACTTTCAATTCTACATATTATTTAAGCCAGGCTCAGATGAAGTAAAAAAGGTAGATATCGCACCTAGAACAAGAAACTGTAACCAATTTTATAACTTTGTGTGAGTCAGAGAAGGGTTGCCACTTTTTTTTAAAAGTCCCTGAAAATCGAGATACAATGCTACAACTACAAGAGTAATATGCGATGCGAAAGCGAAAGTATATCTGTCTGTTTTAATAAATTTCAACAATTTGACGATTCAAAAAAAGATGAAGCACATAGGAGGTGTCTGTAGATCACTTAAAAGTCTTCTTGATAGATTGTCCAGTGAGCATGTAAGCATCGATAAAATATACAACATATGTAATGTAAAACATGTTTATTATAAAAAAATAACTTAATACTAAAAAGAACTATTTGGAAAATAATCCATGGAAATAAAAAATATACTTTTCTAAATGAAAAAAGGTATATTTTAGTAAATGCAAAATAGAACAAACTACAGCCGAGGGCACAAAGGAGTGTTCTAACTTTTACCCCGGGTAGGAGAGATATGAAGTATCAGCCGGAGAGGACACCTGAGTCTCGGTTAAAAAGAGCAAGGCCGGCTTCGCCGTCTGCGGGTGGCAGTGGATAGCATTAAGATTAGAATGAAGTGTCCTGATGTTGCAAAAATTCACTGATAGCGTGACAGGAGTCGCCTTATTCTTATTGTTCCGCTTGCCCCAACAGTTTTAGTTGCGAGCAGAGTTCCCCCCCCCCCCAGAATACGCGGAGCAGCCTAAGCAACCACGGTCAGGAAGAGTAAAGTAGCTTGGTCGTGGATGCTCATCGAGAGATTCTCCGTCACCAGCAGTGAGGGTACGCTTTTGGGGTAGTTTTTATTTGATTCCGCTACGATAATAAGGGTGAGGGGGAATTGGGCCTCCAGCCCAAGTGAAACGCAGAGGTAGACCTCTACTTCACGCAGGTATTATGTGAGATCATGGTACCACTTCGGTTCAAGCTGGCCCAACTATGCGACATAAATAGCCGCTGCGCTGCTCTACCACTGTCAAGTCAAAAGGATGGCTGCCATTTTGGTTCATTTCAGCTCAGTCTTATAGCAGCTACCTTTCATTTTTTTATAGGATAGGGTGACAAACGAGCATACAGTCTACCTGATGGTAAGTGGTTGCTGTAGCCCATAGACATCTACTAATAATATTATAACTGCATCATACTACTCATCACATCATCATCATACATCTAATATTATAACTGCAGCATGGCTCTACCACGTAAAAAAATCATGTCTTATTAAAATATTCGTTAGTAGCCTAAAATCATAAATATTTTTAATAGTAAAATAGTTTGTAAGTACTCAACAATTAAAACAGATCAGACATCAGCGACTTAAAAAAATAAATATCTACCTTGAATTGAATTTGATGTAACATAATTACAACAAATTAAAAAAATATGCTGACTACATATATTTTTATAACTTAGCCTAAAATTAATTGCCCAAATCTTGGACCATTAGAAATAGGAAATACTGGCAACATTCTCCCGTTACGTAATCTCGAAACATTGACATTCGTGCTTCGAATAACCTTCAAAATTGTGTTGGAATAACAAATTAAAATATAGTTAAATGAGTGTTTACGAGTGAAACGATATTGTTTCAGACTTTTTGTTCACTTTAGTATTGTTTTTGCACCATTTAACTACACAGGACGGCATTTTGTAGGCAAATTTACTGCACGACGTCCCGGGAAGTACTGAGCGAAAATGAGCGTAGTTTGATGCATGTGTGTGCGTGAACGCGTGTACTTACATAAAGGAGCGGAGTTTTTTGGCTTCACCAATAACAAAGGCCGCGCTGTATCTACCTTTTTTTACTTCATCTGAGAGGCCGGGTAATACAAATGAGGCAGTTAGCAAACTAAATCACGAGTTAACCATGATTACTGAATGGGCGAATAATAAGGAACTCATCTTAAATCCAAATAAAACCAATTTCTTGATTTTGGGGTCAAAGAAATTAATAGAACGAACGAATGCTCATAAGCCCTAAATTGTTGTCGATGGCTACCGTATTGAACAGGTGTCTGAATTTTATAACTTGGGTATAATTATGGACAGTAGACTAAGGTTTGAAAACCATGTTACGCATACAGTGAA